CAGCCTTAAAAAAAAAATTTTTTTTTTTCTGTAGAAGATATTTGTGTCTAAGGGATGGCACAGAAATACTGCAGAAATGAAGGAACGTATACCCTAGCCAGAGAGCATCAGTCTTGTCAAGTTTAGACATTACAGGACCTGGACCTGGTATTAAAATCCTCTTCCTTACAATCAAAGTTCATACATGTGGCCCGCAACAGAACTAACTTTTTCATAATTGAGTAGTATTCCATTGTGTATCGAGACCGTATTTTGTTTATTCGTCTGTTAATAGACATTTCAGTGGCTTCTACCATTTGGTTACTGTGAAAGCTGCCGCAATGAAAGGCGAGCTCTTTTTATTGCTAATAGTACTCCACTTTATGGCTCCACCACAGATTGTTCATCTTTATATCTATCGTAGGGCAGTTTAGTTCCTTCCACCTTTTAGCAATTATGAATAACGCTTGACCCCTCATTCTGTTGATTTGTCTTATTTTGGTGGCTTGTGAGTGGCTGCGATGCTGGAAGCTATGCCACCAGTATTTTAAATATCAGCAGGGTCATCCATGGTGGACAGGCTTCAGTGGTGTTTCCAGAAGAAGACAAACTAGGAAAAAGAAGAAACGGACTGCTTCTGAAGGGTTAGCCATTGAAAACCTTATAAATAGCAGAACACTGTCTGATAACAGTGTTACAGGTTGGAAGACTCTCAAACTACAACTGGGGAAGAGCTGCCTCCTCAAAGCTGGTGTTAGTGCCATCTAGTAGATTCCAACTCAGCAACCTTGTATAAGGTTCCTGAGCAATGTCCGGTGGGTTTAAACTGCCAACCTTGTGGTTAGCAGTCCAGTGCTTATCCTGCAGTGCCACATATATAAAGTTAACCTTATTGATTGGATGGAGCAAGGTTTGGGGGAACCTTCATTTGCTGATAGGGCAAAACTCAAGATGAGAAGAAACAGCTGCAAATATGCATTGAAAATTGGAACACTGAATATACAAAGTATGTGTCTAGGAAAATCGGAGTCATCAAGCTAAATTGGAATGCACATCTACATCTAGCCATTAGTGAGCTGAAATGGACTGAATCTGACAGTCACCTGGCATACTGTGTGTGTGTGTGTGTGTGTGTGTGTGTGTGTGTGTGTGTATGCCCAATACTAGTGGGCAGCCACATTTAAGCTTGGAGATGTAGGGAATGTGTGGAGTTCTAAGTTCTTATGTTTTGGTGTTCTGTGTATTCTGAGCTCTACTTTTCAATAGCTTTGTATTTCTAAGAAGTGACACAAATCTGTGGTAACTATTACATGTCAAAAAAAGGAAACCAAACCCACTGCCACTGAGGTGATTTTGATTCATAGTGACACCATTCCTTTTGAATTTGTCGTTGGGGCAGAATAAGCCGTAAAATTGTCAGATTCCAAATGGATAATACCAGTCCATTACAGCTCACTCATGCCCAGGATACTGATCATTACGCGTTCCATTTCATTCTTGGCAACTTCCAATTTTCCGAGATTCATACTTCATGAATTCCATGTTCATTTTATTAATGGATGTTTGTAGCTGTTTCTCCTCATTTTGAATTGTGCCCCTTCAGCAAATGAAGGTCCTGAAATCTTTACTCCATTTGTGTTATCATGGTCAACTCTACTTTGAGAAGACAGCTCTTTTCCAGTCGTATTTTGAGTGCCTGCCACACAAGCCATGGTATTTTCAATAACCATATGCATGCAAAAGCTGGACAGAGAATAAGAAAGACCGTAGAAGAATTGATGCCTTTGAGTTATGGTGTTGGAGGAGAATATTGAAAGTACCATGGGCTGCCAAAAGAACCAACAGATCTCTGTTGGAGGAAGTGCAGCCAGAGTGCTCCTTGGAGGCTAGGATGGCCAGACTTCATCTCTCATACTTCAGACATATTGTCAGTAAGGACCAGTCGCTGGAGAAGGCTATCATGTTGGTAAGGTGGAGGGTCAGAGAAAATAGGAAGACCCCCAACGAGATGGATTGGCCAAGTGGCAGCATCGATGGACTCAAGAGTGGCAACAATAGTGAGGTTGGCCCAGGATCGGGCAGTGTTTCGTTATGCTGTGCATAAGGTCGCTATGAGTCGGTACCGACTCCATGGCACCTAACAACAGCAACTCTCCTGAGGGGCACATCCCTAAGGTGCTGTATCCCTAAGATTTTCAGTGACTAACTATTCAGAGTAGCCTCTCCTTCTTCCTTGTCTGTCTTAGTCTGGAAGTTTTGCTGAAACCTGTCCACCATGGATGGGAACAACAAACTGACAGACTTGGTGTAGAGCCACCATGGTGCTGGTGGTCAGGTGCCGTGGAGCTGAGCCCAACTCATAGTGACCCTGTGTAGGGTTTCAGAGGCTGTACATTTTTACGGGAGCAGAAAGCCTCATCTTTCTCCTGTAGAAAGCCTAGGGAACTCAAACTGCTAACGTGTGGTTAGCAGCACAATGCATAACCCATTATGGTACCAGGGCTCCTTGGAGTGCCAGCGTGGGTAAGTTAAATTTAAACTGTGCCCAAAGAATGTTTTCAGTCTGCCAGTAGGACCTATCTGCTTGGTCTGCTTGAAGATAATGTGACTATTGGCCCTTTTTACGAGTTGGGTTTCCAAAGGTACCTTGTTTGGTGAGGATAACAGGAGAAAATGCATAGTGCAGTGTTTTTGTTCCTTAATGCCTCCTTCAGCTTTGACCATGAGGTTGATGTAACGCTCCGAGACATTGTAAGCAGTATAAAGGTGATAAATTCATTTGTGTCACAAGGAATTTATGGAGTTACAGTAGACACAGGTGTTTCATATGTATAGTATGTCTCTGATTTCTCCAGTGGGTCAGTATCCTTCTCATCGAGATGAACAAGACTTGAAGTGGTCACACAAAACCTAAAGAAGTGTGTTCTGTGTATTGTGGTTGCTGTTGTTGTTAAGGATCATTGAGTCAGTTCGGACCCATAGCGACCCTGTATAGTGCCTCTAAGGAGCGGCTGGTAAGCTTGAACCACCGACTTTACAGATCAAACTGACTTTGCAGCCCAGCGCATTAACCCCCAGTGCCACGCCACGACTCCTGTGTATTAGTGGCACTGTTTAATATATAAGTTAGTAAAAGGTCTAATGACTGAGTTATAGGGTAGATGCTAAGGGACCCCAGAATTTTATTTGACTTGCCTATGAATTGAGTCCAGTTTTCTCTGTCTCACCTAACCTGCTACACACATACGTTCTCTCTTAGGAGTCTGTAATGTTCGAGGACGTGGCTGTGGAGTTCTCTCTGGAGGAGTGGGCTTTGCTGGGTCCTGCTCAGAGGAAGCTCTACAGAGATGTGATGTTGGAAACCTTCAGGAATCTGGCCTCATTAGGTAAAAATGAAATTAACTCGTTCATTTATTTAGAGAACAGACACTCCTTGTTCATCCTTCTTGTTCCGGGATTTCAACTGTAGAAAGAAGAATATGTTGGTCAGACGCTATCAAAGCCAGAGAATCTGTTTGTAAAGCTAGTGTTTCTGTCTGTCTTGGTTGAAACACTTGAGATTTGTTTCGTGTCATATTATGTGGATATAGGATTCATTGGTCATTTGGGACCACAGAGAATATTTGGTTTGGAAAACCTTGAGGTAATTTTCTTGTGTGGGTAATAACTTCACTTATGACACCTTGTGCTTTTATTAATGGATTTCTAAAATGGGTAAACTCATCAGTGTCTTTTGTGCTGACTGGTACGTCTTCCTTGTAACAGTTGTTCACTTTTTTTCTTTCAGATAATGAGACTCCATTTAAGGCCAATGTGTCTATTTCTCAACATAATATTTATGGGGGGAAATTATCCAAGGAAGATAAAGTACAAAAAGTTACAGGAAACGGTTCTTGTGTCTCCATTTTAGGAAAAATTTGGGAAAGCATTAAAATTGAAGATCAGCACAGACAGCAGAGAATACCTCTGAGGTGAGTTGAACGTATACTTGAGTGCAGTAGCCAGAGAGAGAGTCTCAGTATTTAATGAAACTAAAAAGCAAATAAATCCCCCCAGATGCATAAGAAATTTTCACAACTAGTTTTTCACTAAATGTGAATTGGACATTGAGTGTTTGAAACAAAATGCAGTTGGGAGCAGTTGTCAATAAATCACAAACACTGTTTTACTGACAGTTGTCTTTGAGCCCTCTTACAGAGGATTCCGTTTATTCCAATTTCATGTAAGTCAGATAAGGCAGGAGACCTACATGGTTACAGAAATGATTAAAATAGTATCCTAATAGTAATTCATTAATATGAATGTGCTATCATCACTATTAATAATATGCTTATCTCCATTTTAACAGAAATCATATGTTTGAAAGACGCCTTGAAAGGAAGGATTATAATGCATGTGAAGAAACCTTCAGTCAGATTCTAAATGTTAATCTTTTCATGAAAAATTCTAGCCTACTCAATTCATTTGAACACAGCTGGTATGGAAAAGCCATCATGCGTCATTCATCACCCAAGAGGCACATTACAAGTGACTCTGGACTGAAACTGTGTGACTATCAAGAACATATGCAGACTTGTAATTTATCAGACATAAACATGCATGAGCAACCTCCCAGTGCAGTAGAGCCTTATGCGTGTAAATTATGTGGGAAGACCTTTAGTTGTCTCCAGCTCTCTCAAAGCCATGAAAGAATTTGTACCAAGGAGAAGCCCTATGAATGCAAACAGTGTGGGAAAGCTTTCAGTTGGCCCGTATCCTTACGAAGACATATGAGAGGGCACACTGGAGAGAAACCCTATGAATGCAACCAATGTGGGAAAGCCTTTAGTTGGCCCATATCTTTAAAAAGACATGTGAGAGTGCACAATGGAGAGAAACCCTACCAATGCGATCAGTGTGGAAAAGCTTTCAAATGGCCCCTATCCTTACGAATACATATGCGTACACACACTGGAGAAAAACGCCACGAGTGTAAGCAATGTGGAAAAGCCTTCAGTTGGCCTATATATTTACGAGCACATATGAGAACACACACGGGCGAGAAGCCCTACGAATGCAGTCAGTGTGGGAAAGTTTTCAAATGGCCCTTGTCCTTACGAACACACATGAGCATACACAGTGGAGAGAAACTTTATGACTGTAAACACTGTGGGAAGGTCTTCAGCTGGCCTGTACACTTGGAGGCACATATGAGAATGCATTCAGATGAGAAGCCCTTCGAATGTAAGCAGTGTGGGAAAGCCTTCAAGTGGCCCTTATCCTTGCGAGCACACGTGACAACTCACACCGGGGAGAAGCCCTATGAGTGTCAGCAGTGTGGGAAAGCCTTCAGTCAGCTCTCTTACCTTCGCGAGCATGTGAGAATTCACACTGGAAAGAAACCTTACGATTGCAAGCAGTGTGGGAAAGCCTTCAAGTGGCCCTCATCGTTACGGAAACACCTGAGATTGCACACCGGAGAGAAGCCCTACGAATGTAAGGAATGTGGGAAAGCCTTTAATTGGCCCATATCCTTACGAGCACATATGAGGATGCACTCTGGTGAAAAGCCCTATGAATGCAAGCAGTGTGGGAAAGCCTTCAACTGGGCTATGTCTCTACGGACACACATGAGCACACACACCGGGGAGAAGCCCTATGAATGTAAACAGTGTGGGAAAGCTTTCAATTGTCCTAAACATTTACGAGAACACATGAGAACACATTCTGGTGAGAAACCCTACGAATGCAAGCAGTGTGGGAAAGCCTTCAGTTATCTCCAAAACCTCCGTAGGCATGAAAGGACTCACAGTAAAGACAAACGCTACGAATGTAATCAGTGTGGAAAAGCCTTTAGTCAACTCTCATACCTTCGAGGACATATGAGGATGCACACTGGAGAGAAACCCTATGTCTGTCAGGAATGTGGGAAAGCCTTCCAGTGGCCCTCATTTTTATCAAATCATATGAGAGTGCACAGCAGAGAGAAGCCCTACGTCTGTCAGGAATGTGGGAAAGCCTTTAATTGGCCGGTATCCTTAGAAGCGCATATGAAAACACATTCTGGAGAAAAACCCTATAAATGCAGTCAATGTGGAAAAACCTTCAAATGGCCTTTATCTTTACGAACACATCTGAGCACACATAATGACGAGAAGCCCCATGAGTGTAAACAGTGTGGGAAAGCTTTCAGCCAACTGTCATACCTTCGAGGACACGTGCGAATGCACACTGGAGAGAAACCCTACGTGTGTAAGGAGTGTGGGAAAGCCTTCAGGAGCCCCTCCTCATTACCAGTGCACATGAGGACACACACTGGAGAGAAGCCCTACATCTGTCAGGAATGTGGGAAAGCTTTTAACTCGTCTTCCGCTTTAAAGTATCACGTAGGAACACACACTAGAGAGGAGTATAATAAACGTCAGGTGGGTACGTGTCCTGAAAAATAATTCATGTACCATACTCTAGAACGTTCACATCAGAGAAAAAATGTTAATAAGAATTTTAAGTGTGTATGGCCTTTATTAAATATCTCTTCCTGACAGTGGACTGAGAGATTGGATGCTTTTATGTGCTCCTTTTCAGAAATAATTATGAAGTGATAACGAATTCTGTAAGTGCACTTTGAACTATGGTATATAATTTGACCAAAATAAGAAAGAAGACCCTGCTATAATAGAATGGTCTGTGACTCACAGCACCCCTATAGGATAAATGAGTACAGCTCTATGGGCTTTCCAAGGCTATGATTCCTTATGCTAAATAGACTGCCACAGTTTTCATCTAGCAAGCAACTGTGGGGTTGTTTTGAGGGACTCCATTCAATCCCAATAACCAGGTTGCTTGGGTCACACCTGGGAGATTCTGTCGTGAAATATTCTACAAAAGGAGACCCTTCTTTTTAAAAAAACAAAAACTTTTTTATTGTGTAAAGGTTTACAGGGTAGATCATCAGTTTCACATTCCATAAATCATATCCTTTGCTTCATTACAATGTTTGAATCCCTTCTGTGTAGCAACAGTTATATTTACCTCTATTCACTTTAATGGTACATTCCTCCCTGTGTTTCCTTATTCCTTCATCTTTCCTCTCCTCACCTCCCTGTCACCCATGTTAGCACGTGTCTTAACACCTCTAGCCCATGAATTATTTTTCCTCCCTCCTCTCGCCCATAATCATAGGTTGTTCCTTTTATCAAGAAAACCTTAGTATGTTACCACATTGGTCTCATAAATTATGTGTCCTTTTGTGACTGACTGATCTCACTCAGCATAATGTCTTCCCTCCAGGTTCATCCGTGATGTGAGGTGTTTTGCAGATTTTTTTTTTTTTTTTAAGATGACTTCAGGGGATACTTCTGGTTTAAAGTTTACAGATGATTTCACAGCATCATTTTAGAAGTTCATCCACTCTCTATGGCTCCAGAAAGTCTAGAGTCCATGAGAATCTGAACTTCTCAGAACAGACACTTTTTTTTTTGTCAATGTTTTATTGTGAATTATGTGATGGTTTACATGGGAGAACATCAGTTTTACATTCCTTCTATCATATGCAGATTCATTTTTACTCTTCAACATTGCATAATATTCATTTGTGTGTGGGTACCAAAGTTTGTTTAACCATTCTCTTGAGCATTTAGGGTGTCTCAATCCTGACTATAGGATCAGTTATAGGATCAGCCATGGACTAAACCACAGGGTCAGCAGTTCAAACCCACCAGTTGCTCCTCAGAAACCCTATACAGGGTCACTATGAGTTGGAACTGACTTAATGGCACTTAACAACATCAACAATCTTTTTGATACGTCCATGTAGACAGTATAATGAAATATCCATTCGGCTCTCTGTCTTTTGAATGGTGCATTTTATCCATTTATATTCAGTATCATTCCCACTAAGTATGAATTGATTGCTGTCATTTTGCTGTGTGTGTGGTGTTACAGGTTTCATTATATAATTTGATGTGCAGAGTTCATTTCGTTTGTGGGATTTCTTTGTATTTTCATTTCTGTTGTGTTAAGGTTTACTAAATCCTGATTTTTTTTTTTTTTTTATGTGTAGGTGAATTAATTCCTTTTCTTTGAGGTTCCCTGTAATTTAAAAATATTTTTCCCTATTCAAACCAGACTGTTGTATCTTGAAATCTACTTAACATCCTTGCTTTTTGCAAGTTCCGTGTTGACAGAATTCTCTTTTTTTGTTTAATAGTTGACATTGATTGATATCTCTGGTTCGCTATTTTCAGTCTTGTAGGTTTGTTTTACTTTTAATACTTCTATAGCTAGATTGAGTTCTGGGTCATATTGCCATATATGGTAATATCAGATTGTTGTCTGTTGTTTCTCAGTTCAAAGGACAACCTTTAGCATTTCTTGTAAAGTTGGCCTGGTCATTACAAATTCTTTAATTTCTGTTTATCAGGAAATGTCCTAATTTCATCATTGTATTTGAGGGATTAAATACATTTTAAAATGGTTTAAAATTAAGAAAGGTCTGCAACAAGGTTGTATTCTTTCATCATACTTATTCAACCTGTATGCTGAACAAATAATCCGAGAAGCTGCGTTCTTTGAAGAAAATTGTGCCATCAGGATTGGAGGAAGACTCATTAGCAACCTGCGATATGCAGATGATACAACCTTGCTTGCTGAAAGTGAAGAGGACCTGAAACATTTACTGATGAAGATCAAAGAACACAGCCTTCGGTATGGGTTGCATCTCAATGTCAGAAAAACAAAAATCCTCACCACTGGACCAATAAACAACATTCTTATCAATGGAGAAAAGATTGAAGTTGTCAAGGACTTCATTCTTCTTGGATCAACTATCAACACTCTTGGAAGCAGCAGTCAAGAGATCAGATAACGTATTGCACTGGGCAAATCTGCTGCACAGGAACTTTTTAAAGTGTTGAAGAGCAGAGATGTCAGCTTGAGGACTAAGGTGTGCCTGACCCAAGCCATGGTGTTTTCAATAACCTCATATGCATGTGAAAGCTGGACAGTGAATAAGGAAGACAGTAGAAGAATTGATGCCTTTGAGTTGTGGTGTTGGAGGAGAATACTGAAAGTGCCATGGACTGCCAAAAGAACCAATAGATCTGTGTTGGAAGAAGTGCAGTCAGAGTGCTCCTTGGAGGCCAAGATGGCCAAACTTCGTCTCTCGTACTTCGGACATATTGTCAGGATAGAACAGTCACTGTAGAAGGATGTCATGCTGGGTAGGGTGGAGGGTCAGAGAAAAAGAGGAAGACCCCTAACGAGATGGATCAGCCAGGTGGCATCATTGATGGACTCAAGTGTGGCAGCGGTAGTGAGGTTGGCCCAGGATCGGACATTGTTTCGTTTTGCTGTGCATGGGGTCGCTGTGAGTCAGTTCCGACTCGATGGCACCTGACAACAACAACAACAACAAAAACCAGTAGAACAATTATCCAGCATGCCCATGGACTCTGTTTCTTCAGATGGCCTCACCAGTAATGTTCTGTTGGGAGTTTGGTGTATTTATGTGTAACATTCAGTACTCACTGCATCTCCTGTCACACCTTGAGTGGCTGTCAGAATGGTCAGTCTTCCCCATATGGTGGACTACCTTCTTCATCTGAGTGGTTTCACAATTAAGTACAAGCTTTCTTTGCTGTTGTTCAGGACCTGTTTAGTAAAACTGGACAGAGCTTTCATTTTCCTTATCACCTTTATCACTCCCCCCTTGTAGGTCAGTGAAACAGGTAACTAGTGAAAACCACTTCACTTGTTCATTTTAAAGACTGATCCCATAGCTATTTTAACTTTTTTTTTGGTTTGTTTTTTACATTTGACTTGTGGTTTTTATTAAAGTAAAGATGCCGTAAGAACTAGATATGTCACATTTTAGAATGCTATGCTGACTTTTTTTTAAAAAGTTTTTATTATGAACTGAGTGATAGTTTACATGGGAAAACACCAAACTTGTCTTGATCTACACAGTTGGAACCTTTGCATAATCATTAAAACATAAGTAACATCTCTGGTATTCTCTGCTTTCAGCCAAGATCCATCTGACCTCAGCAGTGACATCCCTCATTCCAGTTCCTCTTCTGAATCCAGTTTGAGTTTCAGACAGTTCCCTGGCACTGTACTGTTGCAGTCAATTTAGAATGATCTTCAGCAAAACTTTACTTGCCTGTGAATATTAATGATACTGTTCGGTGATTTCCATATTCCAATGGGTCACTTTTCTTTGGAATGGGCACAACTAGGATCTCTTCCGATTGGTTAGCCAGGTGGCTGTCTTTCAAATTCTTGGCATAGATGAGTGAGTGCCTCCAGGGCTGCATCAGTTTTTTTTTAAGATTTCTATTGTGTTCCTGGAAGGCACTCTGGTAGCGTAGTGGTTACGAATCGGGCTGCAAGCCGCAAGGTCAGCAGTTCGAAACTACCAGCGGTTCTGCGGGAGAAAGATGAGGCGGTCTGCTCCCGTAAAGATTTACAGCCTCGGAAACCCTGTGTAGGGTCGCTATGAGTCGGAATCGACTCCACGGCACACAACAACAACAACAACATTGTGTTCCTGGAGGCTTGTTTTGTGCCAGTGCCTTCATTCTAGTGCGAACTTCTTCAGTACCACTGGTTCTTGATCATGTGCCACATCTGGGAATGGTTGAACAGCGGCCCTTACTTTTTGGTACAGTGACTTTGTATGTAGAGTCTGCATCATTCAATACTTGCCTGGTGGGATCCTTCAGTATTGCAAGTTAAGGCTTGAATTTTTTCTCAGTTCTTCCAGCTTGAGAAATGCTGAGCAAGTTCTTCCCGTTGAGTTTTCTAACTCCAGGTGTTTGCACATTTCATTATAATACTTGACTTTGTCTTCTGAGCCTGCCTTTTTGAAATTTTCTGTTCAGCTCTATTACTTCCTCATTTCTTCCATTCACTTTAGCATTTATACGCTGAAGAGCAAGTTTCACAGTCTCTTCTGCTATCCATTTTTGGTCTTTTCTTCTTTTTATGAGTTTTTGCTTTCCTTATGTTTGAGGTTCTTGATGCCATCTCATAGCTCTTCTGGGTAGAGGAAGTTTAATGCATAGGGATATCAGGGTCCCAACGGTGCACTCCACACCTGGTTATTCTTCTCTGATGGTAGATAGATGCATCCATTTCTGCTTCTGAGATGATTCATTTTAGTCACGTTAAAGTTCCAAATCTTTACAATCATAAGTAATCCTGTCAACAGTCACTTGCAACTGATTCATAGAATATAGGCATCTTCTCCCATCTTCTGTTGTGCAGACACAACTGAAAAAAGTCATTTGGTGAGAGAAAGACATGGCTAGAAAGGATTAAACAGTTCACTGCTTGGCAGTGGGTAAATATAACATGTAGACAATCTTGTAACTGAGA